GAATTCCCATGTTTAAAGGATTTACAAAGCTTCTTCAGTAGGAAAATATGCTCAATAGCGGGTGTGGGTGGCCCTAGACTCGTCCTACAGGACCCTGGATAGAAAAAGAGGCAATGCAAGCCTGCAGCATTTTAGGCCCACAAATAAAAAATACTACTCATAAAAAGTTATACTTTTAAATTGGCATCTTCTGGATACTAGTTACATAAAGATATGAGATTTGTATTATTACAATGGAGGCTGTAACTGCAGTAAATCATAATGAGCAATTAATTTGTATTTATTGATACTGTATGAAACAGACAATGGAGAAAATTCATGTCTCGTTCATGTAGGAGTTGGGGGACGGTTAGAGTACAAGAACACCAACTGATTTTTTTAAACATTTAGATATGATCTGCTGCCTCTGAAGATCTTTTGTCGTACTTCACAAATTAAAACAGTATTTATACATGAATGAAATTTATTCCGAAGATCATGTAATTTAAATAGTTACTCCTTTAATTACAAAGGGCTTAAGTTGGTTTTAATATGAGGTCAGTTATGTTTGAATAGCCTTTTTTATAGCTAGAATAATAACTTTTCAAAATAGTTTTGTCTTGTCTTGGATTGTGATTTGAAATATTCAAGTGTAGCAATGAGAATGAAGGAAATGTGTTACGTTGCAAACACTATCGTACCGTGCTATTAAAGCAACGCTAGTAACATGAGAGCAGTTGCTGTTTTCTAATGTCAGACAGGCTAAATTCTGAAAGTGAACTGGTTTATCTCACTGGCCCAGTTTATGGTTCTTATCCAGACTCCCTTGTGACATTTCTTTAATCTCAGCTCTCAGGGTGTAAAACATTCAGTCCATCATAGCTTTTTATGCTGCTACACATCTTACTTCTTTCCTTAAATGCTTGTATTTCATTGCATTAGGGCTTGTGTGTCTTTGGCCTCCAAGAATCGGATGATTGGAAATGCAGCCAAGAGTCAGGTAAGGTCTGCCGTAACATTTGTCTCCTGATTGTATTTTTAGCTACTACTTCATTGGGTTCATCATCTCGCTTGTTAGCCCTGATGAAGAATCAGCAACAGAGTATTTCTCAACCCCAAACATGTGGAAGCTAAAGCAGGTTGGCTATACTAGCAGAAGACCACACCACACTATTCTGTTAGTTAAGCTCTTTAAACTGATGGAGTGACTTAGACAGGATTGTGAAAATTGGACATTTTGAAAAGGAAAAATCTTGCCTGTTTTCAGAACTGCAATAGACAGAAGGTTGAGTTGGAGTATGGAGGAAACTAACTAGAAAGTGTGGATCAATTATGAGTTGTATAAAAGGTTTAGTGTCTTTAGTTCCACCATAGAACCATTTGAATAATTTTTGACCATGTTCATCCTGTTATGACCACAGTAGCAGGAAAAGGAGCCATGTCACAAAGCTTAAACTTTCTCAAAGTGCTTACCAGGGCATTTTCATAAACTGCAGTGGTTGTCAACATCTTGTCCAACGGAACAGTTTTGAGTTGTGTTGGAACATGAGATCCTTATCATTGAAATGGAGCTAGCAAATCTGTAGAAAATGAATAGTGGTTGGAATTTGTACCAGGAGGGTTAGAGTGGGGCCCGTGTTTTTTCATGGGGGCACAGAACAAAAGAATTAAACACACACAAAAACTAGGGCAAGAGCGCATTGTTTAGTACATTAAGTGAGCCACAAAGTCAGCGTTGCACATTTCTGATCTAAAAGACCAAAACTGTGATCCGATCCTGTCTTAGTATTGTGGAATCAAGGTTTTTCCTTAGCCTATCTGTGTGATAAAATGTTAGTTTGAATAGAAGTGATGATAGAGAAATTCTGTACCATTCACTATGCTATACTGTTTAGGGGTACAGAAAGCAGGTGCCTCCCCTCCCTAGTCTAGATAAGGGTGAGGGGAAGGTCATTAGAAATAATGAGTTCACTAAGCCTCCTTCAAGCTATGGTTAAAACTTATGCTCGTATCGTTCTGCCATCCTGTTTCTGGTGTGAAAGTAATACAGTTGTCTGAAATGTTTATCTGAGCAAATTTATGTCTTTTGATGAACTAAAGTGTTTCTCTTGGGAAGATTCAATGTTCGTGTGTGTGTATGCTGTGGATTCTTTTTAAATGTATCGGTGTGTTTCTGAATGCTTCAGAATCGCACTCAGCTGTATTCAGCTGGTTTGTGCCATTCTCCTCTGCAGACTAAAATAAAACCTTTTCTTCCTTGCATATCAACTCTCAGTGCTCATTTTTTACTCCACAGTATATAGACTGCAGCTTAAAGCTGACTGGAATTTCAAAATATTTGATAGTAGTAAATTGTCTAGGTAAAAATATTAAATTGGTCGAAGGGGTGAATCAGCCAGGACCAGTCCTGGCCCCTGCTGGCCTTTGGCTAGAACCCCCATGGGTCCAACCCGCCCACAGGTGTACCAAATAAAGAGTCCAGACGAACGTCTTCTTCTCTGTAGACTTTAACTCTCCAAAATATTTCTTCTGCCTTTCTACCAGGTCATAACAAACTTTAAAAATACAGTCCATGGCTTCAAAAAGTTTCATGGCAGAGCGTTCGATGATCCGTTTGTCCAATCAGAGAAAAGCAAACTGCCTTACAGCCTGCATAAGCTGGCCAACGGAAGCACTGGAATTAAGGTAACGTCGCCGTCCTTTTAACAAATCCTTTATGAACACTCCTTCAGCCATTTTTTACCTGGCCTCGTTAACTGTTAACAGGTGCGCTACCTAGACGAGGAGAAAGTGTTCACGGTGGAGCAGATCAGTGGGATGCTGCTTACTAAGCTGAAGGAGACGTCGGAGAGTGCGCTGAAGAAGCCGGTGGTGGACTGCGTGGTCTCTGTGAGTGACTGAACATCTCGGCCTTCTGTCAGTGTAACTCAGAGCCCTTCAGGGAAATTAGCTGAACTCTGGTTTTTGGTGTTGCAGGTCCCTAGTTATTTCACAGATGCGGAGAGACGGTCAGTCCTGGATGCAACTCAGATTGCAGGGTTGAACTGTTTGAGGCTGATCAACGACACCACAGCAGGTCAGTAGCTACGTTTACATGCGCAAAATTTCCCCGATCCGATCCAAACCTTGGTTGATCGGAAATTCAAAATCTCCGTTTACATGGACACTAAATGAAATGATCCGATCATGACGTGTGTATACATGTACTGAGCGTTGGATCAGATTAAATCTTTTAAGCATGTGCAGAACTTCCTGCCAAACTTGGCAGTTCTGTCTGCGTCTGGTTTTTGGGAGGCCTGACAAACGATGCGCTCGGAGCGAGCGGAAAGAAAAACGGAGAGAGGAGGAAAAAAGCGCTTGGCAGCGAAATGTACGAGAGAAAATGTAGAGAATGAGCGATTGAACCGGCGTGGGAGAGCGAGTGGGCTGTGGAGAGAGAAAAGAGGAAGAGGATAAATTCCTGCTTCCTGCAGCTTTAAATGAACTTGAGTGTATAAGTCGGCGTTCCTAGACTCCCCCCGCCATGTTGTTCACAGCGAGAGCGAGAGCGACCGGTGGTTTCCTGTTGTTGACAAGGCGGAAAAACGTCACGCTGACGTCGCACACATGCGCAGTGAAGATTATTTTACTCTTAAGATCCGAATGGGTGTTTACATGGACGCCAATCGGAATGGCGATCGGCAAAAACCACCTCTCTCATTCGGAATTAAATTTAGATCCGATCGGACCGAATCGGATTAGAATCTTCAGTCTGACATGTTTACATGAAACATTTTTGATCTGATCAGGCCTTCAATCCGATTAGTTGTGTCCATGTAAACGTAGCTAGTGTTACTTTGGTCTACACTCAGAAAACACTGAAGGAAATGGAAATGATTCAAATAAATCACTTAATTCTTAACAGTGGCATTGGCTTATGGGATCTACAAACAAGATCTCCCTGGTCCTGAAGAGAAGCCCAGGAATGTGGTGTTTGTGGACATGGGACATTCATCGTTCCAGGTCTCCATCACAGCTTTCAACAAGGGGAAACTCAAGGTGAGTACATATTTCCACATGATTTTCAGAATAAAAGTTAGTCTTAATCCTCTCGATCACTCGTCAGGTCCTTGCCACGGCATTTGACCCGTACCTCGGGGGGCGAAATTTTGACGAAGCCTTGGTGGATTACTTCTGCGAGGAGTTTAAGACAAAGTACAAGCTGAACGTGAAGGACAACCCGAGGGCTTTGCTGCGGCTGCACCAAGAATGCGAGAAGCTGAAAAAGCTAATGAGTGCCAACTCCTCTGACTTGCCTCTAAACATAGAGTGCTTCATGAATGACATTGATGTTTCCAGCAGGATGAACAGGTCAGTTTTTATTTCATTTTAGATAAGGCAATGTAGGCATAATTTATTATACTCCAGACATGAAGGGGTCATTCACCATATGAAAGGATCAGTATGTGTTAAAAACTGGATACATATTTCACCTTTAATGTGACATTATTTATATATCCATCCATCCATGGGTTCTGATGCCTATCTCCAGCTGTCAATGGGCTAGAGGCTGGGTACGACCTGTACAGGTCGCCAGTCTATCGCAGGGCAACACAGAAACAAACAGGACAAACAACTATGCACACTCACACTCACAGCTAAGGAGAATTTAGAGAAGCCATTGACCTAACAGTCATGTTTCTGGACTGTGAGAGGAAGCCGGACTACGTGGAGAGAACCCACACATGCACAGGGAGAACATGCAAACTCCATGCAGAAAGACCCTGGACACGGAATCAAACCCAGCACCTTCTTGCTGCAAGGCAGAGTGCTAGCCACTGTTCCATTGTGATCTATATGAAAATTTGGCTGTGTCAATGCAAATGGCCTCAACTTTGACCAGGTTGTCTATTTTTGGATACACTTAAATCTGATTTTTTTTATGTATTTTCCATCCCAAAAATCCTTTACCGGTATTTTAAAATCCCATCGAAATATCATGAACTTTATGTTTTCCACGAGATGATGACACATTCCTTGTATTATATGTTAACAAATTTGCATACATTTGAAAGGAAATTGATTTGTTTACTACTGATTTGATTAAATCCCCCCAGAAAAGGTTAAGAAGCAGTAAAGCTGGCAATATTTGACTCCCTTGGGGTCACATAATAATAATGGATGATTATTCGTTGCCTTGCACCAAAAAGTTCCTGGACATAAGTCTGGACACGGCGATTTTCTGCTTGGAGTTGTATGTCCTTTTTGTACATTAGGGGTGTACTCCCACTGTCATCCTAAAGATTACTCTTAAGTATGAGCCGTGAATATTACATATGCAGTGTAAAAAGGAACAATATTTGCTGAATATTGAGGACTTCACTTTTGTGTCCAAGACAGACAAATACAGCACCACTAGAAGGAAGCCAGAAGGTTAAACCTGTTAAAGCATCTCCTGGTTTTAAGACAGCACCGGAGTCTACCTACATTAAACATTTTGACCAGCAAATATTTCTCTCTTTTTGTCAAAAATGCCTAAGATCTGTCAGATTTGAGTGATATTTGGGAATGTCTCTAGCCCTAGCTGCAGTAAAACTGCCAAAGCACGATGCTACCTCCACCATGTTTTACTGTGGGTTACAGATCTTTTTTGGAATAATCCTCAGAGAGCTCTATTTGGCAAATCTGGGACTTCCAGTTCTTGCCTGTGTCACGTCATAGATTTGCTACTGATGATGAGTGTCCTCACTTTGTTGTCTGGTAATTGCATTGCATTGTTTACACTTTTGTATCCTTCTTCTGACTGATACTTTTGAAAGTAACTTCTTCTGATGCTTTCGGGGTTCTCTGTACATCAAGGCGTTTTTTTGGGAAATTGATTATTAACTGTGTTTGGGGTTTATCTGGTGCTTTTTACCTGAAGACTGCATCACTGCAGCCTTATTTGTAAGAAAGATGTCAGATTTTGTTTGGTGAGTTTTTCAGCTTTTAAGTCATTTTAAGTTTTTTTCACAATAACCTGTCTGTTTAAAAGCAGTCTGTAGACTCTTTACATCCACTCTAAGCAGTCTTTGTGTGTCTGCAGGACTCATTTTGAAGAGATGTGTGCTCAGTATCTGATGAGAGTGGAGACGCCACTGAAAACAGCCTTTGAACAATCAAGTACGAACCTTTGAGAATATCATCCCATTCTAAAAACAATGAAGGGGTTTTCTCATTAATGTGTCTGTCTCTGGATAGAGTTAAATCGGGACGACATCTATGCAGTGGAGCTTGTTGGAGGAGCCACGAGAATCCCGTCCATCAAAGAGAGAATCACCAAATTTTTCTCCAAAGACATCAGCACCACCCTCAATGCTGACGAAGCTGTTGCCAGAGGATGTGCCCTTCAGGTGGAAATCCTCTCTGAGTTTCAGCATCTAGGGAAAATATCCTAAGGATGCCGGATGAGCACTAACTCTGTGCGTTTCTGTGTTTGGATGCAGTGTGCAATTTTGTCTCCAGCATTTAAGGTTCGGGAATTCTCAATCACAGATGTGGTTCCTTTTCCAATCACGCTCCGGTGGAAATCACCCTCAGAAGATGGACTGGGGTAAATATAATGCATTAAAAGCGTGATTTATTGACCTCATTACAGTTTTACTCACCTGAATGAGGAGATCAGTGAGTAAGAGGTAATCTTTACTTTATGTTCTCTAAAAGTTTTTTTTTTTCTTCCCCTGCAGAGAGTGTGAGGTTTTCAGTAAGAATCACCCTGCTCCTTTTTCCAAAGTGATCACTTTTCACAAGAAGGAACCTTTTGATCTGGAAGCGTTCTACAGCAGTCCTCAGGAACTTCCCTACCCGGACCACAGGATAGGTACTAGTGCTGATTCTGCTGCTTTTGCAGAGAACAGAAACCACACAACAGTTTAAAGTGTTTGAATACAGAAGAGTTAAGCAATACTTTACAGATTTCCTCTGTTTTGACTTTTATTACATAAGCATATATCAGAGTAATTATAAAATTCAATGAATGGTTTCTTATATTGAGAGAAAAGGTCATTCAGAATAATTAGGTTCTATGTGAAAAGTGATAAGGCTCATAAGCCTGATAACTGTGATGCATCAGATATTTTTGACAGCTGTAATGAGTCCTTAAATGTTTCTACAGGGTTTTTCTTTCTTTTTTTTTTCGCCCAATCACTCACTAAGAATAGTTTAAATAGGCCTCATTGGAGGTTTTTTTTCCAACTCATCTGTTCGAGATCTATTTATCTAAAATCTGAAATGATTATATTTTCTCCTTCAGTACTTTTGGATAAAGAGCACAATTATTGGGTTAATGGATCAATTACAGCTAACTGTCTGGGTCCTAAAGCGGTAGATCATAGAACAGAATAGAATAGACTTAAGTACAAAGCAAAGAAATGTAGTTTGCGTCTATCCAGAAATGCTATACAGGATATAAATATTTATTTACAAGTGCACAGAGACTATGTATGTATGGATTATAAATTGTATATATAAACAGAGAGTAACTGAAAGAGGTTATAAAATAATTAAATATGAAAAACTATATACAGATTATACAGGAAAGTTAGGATATGGATTATATATATATTTCAGTGGGGTTATAATACAGGATAAATAATGACAGATAATGGCAGATAAAAGATTTATACAGCTATAGTTGTGAAGTGCGTGTTAGATCCATGGATGCGTAGAGCTGCTCCACATCATTGCGCTACCAGCACCACATTTAAGTATCAGTATAAGGTTGTTTTTCTAACATTTATTTTCAATTTTACACAGAATATAAGAATTGACGTTTTTTTTTCACACAAGTCCTGATCTTCAGGATCAACAGGATTCTCTTAGGCATATCTGAGATTAGGTTCTGTGTTTTGCATTGTGTTCTTTTTTGGTCTAGAGACTCTGATGCTGTAATTTTTTATTTTTATGAGCTTGAGGAGTCAATACCACTCTCTTTGAGTCCTTGGATAGGCCTCCTGGAAAGATTATCCCATGTTCCATGTTTTTCCCTTTGGTTGACAAAGGTTTTCAGTTTTAGATTTTGAAATGTTTGGTAATCTCTCCCAGACTGAGAATATCAGTAACCGTTTCTCATCAGTTTTCAAACTTCTGTAGATCAGCAGAGTCCATTGCATTTTAGGATATTTTAGCCTACTTTATGTTGTCAAGCAGGTTTTGTTTAAAAGTGTTCTTGATTCTACTTATTTTGAAGGAACCTGACCTGAAGCTGCTGAAACTGGGCCTGGAATTATAAAAAAAAAAAAGTTTTATCACAATTGAGTATTAAACAAGGGGGTGATTACTTTTTCATAATGTGTCAGGTTGTTTTGAGTAATTTATTACCCTTAAGGAATCAAATAACAATGAGAAAATACTTTTTCTATTTGCTTTTATTTTTGATCAGTACTAATGTGTTTGAACATTTTAAGTTACATAAAATAGCTTCAACAAGGAGCCAAATACTTTTTTTATCTACTGTAGCCTATGGCTTGAGAAACAAAGCTCTCTATGGCTGTATAACCTGCTTGTTTTATTTCCATTTATTACCAGGCTGCTTTTCAGTGCAGAACGTGGTTCCTCAGCCGGACGGAGACAGCTCTAAGGTAAAGGTCAAGGTGCGTGTCAACATTCACGGCATCCTCAGTGTGTCCAGTGCGTCACTGATCGAGAAGCTGAAAGGGGAAGCAGAAGACATGCAGATTGAATCTGAGCCGCCGGCACAGAATGAAGGAAGAGCAGAGGAGCAGGTACAGTTCTGATCTACACAGCTACCGTGTTACACAGAAACCTGCTTGTGTAATAGCTCACAGTATCTTCTTTTAGAGATATGTGATCCCTGAGAAATTATGCAACACATCCTTTTAGATTTTAACAGTTTCTGGAAGACTTTGAGAGTTTTTACTAATGTTTAGTCCAGTACTTGAACATTTTCTGATAGATGGGTTTATCTTTATTTTTTGCCCATTTAATTCTGCTTCTAGAATCTATCCCGAAGTAAAAAGCTCCTGGAGTTAGAAAACATGAGCTGATGTAGTCCAGGGCTGCACATAAACATGTGATCACAACACTGTATATTGGGATGTTGGAAGTGATGAACCCAAAATTTACTCCCTTTTTTTTTGTCCCTCTTTTCCATTAGCACTTTTTTGCTTTCATTCTCTGCAACCTTTAGCTTCTTAGCCATTAAAAGAAAAATAAACATCCAGTTTGAAAATCAGGACAGTGAGAGCCCTTTAAACTGTCAAAATGTAATTTCTTGATGCAGCATTTTTTATGCCTGGTGCTTAAAACATTATGTTCTGTCAAATGTTGCATCAAAGTATTTCTTTGTGTTTGTAATGTTAAATATATAGGCAGCGCAGGGGTGATTGGGATTAGAGATATGGTGCTGCTTTAATTTATTCTGATGCATAACAGCAAACATTACAAAGAAGGACAGCTAATCTAAACCTCCAGATATTTTGTTACAAACATCCTATCTTTAAGACTTGCTCTATTTTCTATATAAATTGGAAAGTCTGTGTAGTAACAAGCTGAACTTTACGTCATTTACGTTCATTTATGTTTAGTTATGCTGGTATTAAATAACTGAATGTATTTTGCCCTAGAACAAAATGCAGGTGGAGCAGGAGGGTCAAAGCCAGGGAGATCAACTGAATGAGGAAAGCAGCTCCTGTAGTAAGGTAAGTCAGGCGTCATTTGATACACAGTCTTAGAGTCTGTGGTCCCCGAGCCCAGTCCTCAGGGCCCACTGTCCTGCATGTTTCAGCTTTGCCAATGCTTCCTGTATTGAATGACAACATCTTCTTATTTGCATGTAAAAACCTACATCTAAAACAAACAAGATAGCAGGTACAAAGAACTATAGCCAAGCCTTTATGTCAATTTTGAATCTTTGTTTTGATTGATCAATTTATCCAGATCTGTGGAAACTTTTTAAAAGTCACTTTGATGGACAGAAATTCAAACAAACTCATATCAAGGCAAAATAGACAGCCTACACATCACTTTGACATAATCTATATCTACTCTTATGTTTAGCATGCTCATAAAGAGGTAGGGGTGTCCCAATACTGGTATTGCAACTTTGAGAATTTACAGATACTGGCATTGACCTTACATGACATAGGCAGGATTAATACATGATTTTATGACTTATTTTGTTCTGTAGAAAATTGGAAAAGTCTTGATCCACTGATACTTCTAAAACAGTGAACGATAGTCAACAGCAACATTTATGAGAACAACTGACCCATGTAATATTAACCAATTGATAAAAGATTCCTTAAACAGAATCAGAGCATTACTATAAGCCTGACAATATCGGAGATTTAAGATGCAGACTGATATTAGCTTTTTTGCTAATATGGGACCGATATCCAATAATTATGTAGGATCTGGACACCCAGATAAAGAGGTCTAAGTGTAGAGCTGAAGGTTCTTACAAACGATTGGTTGAAAAAAAACTAATTAAAAACTGCTATTGGATTTCTTGACTCCAGTGCAGCTTTTGATATTGATCACAAACTATTCCTTATGAAGCCGTCAGCTTAAGGCTTTAAAACATCAGCTATTAATTAAGAGTAGCTATCTTATTGAAACAGTGTGTTATGTTTGATGGTATTTGTTTCAATTATAAAACCCTTCCATGTGGAAATCCATAAAGTAGCCGCTTACTGTAGGTCCTCTGCTTTATAGCAGTTTTCCTATTATAAAAAGTATGAATTACTATATATGCAGATGATTTCTTCGGATAGGTTAGATCAAGTAAAGTTCTGAGTGTGTGACTGACTATATGATGAAACAGAATGTTTCAAAGCAAAGTGTGTGCTGAGCTATAAGTATCCTATAAGGCAAACTAAACTGTTGCAGATTGTTGTACAAAAACAATCAATAGAACAAGCAGAAGAAGCCACGCTAATGGGAGTTTTAATAGAGAGAACTCTTTCTTTCTTGGTCTACATGCATTAAAGCGCTCATTACTAAAGTGAGCAGAAATATTGCTGTAATCTGACTAAAAGCACATTTTATGTATTTTGAAATAAGAAAACTACAACTACAGTCTTTAATTCTTGTCATCTTCAATGTTCAGCTTTTTTGTTGAATGCTTAAAAAAAACATCAGGATAAACGGCAGGTAGCTCAAAATAAAGCTGGCCGCCTGGCAGTTGAATTTCATTGTAAAACAGATGTGAATTTCATCCTTTAATGCCTATCAAGGATCAAAGTCGGTGACAGACTATCATCTTCCTTCATTTTTGATTTTGTTTTTGTTTGAAGATATTGCACATTTTTTTTGTAATGTTTATAAAAGTATGGTTTTATTGTAATGTCTGTGGTGCAGGAAGAATAGTGTCTACTACGAGAGACACTACGAGGATCCTTAAATACAAAAATAAACCAGGGTCGAGAACTGCTGTTTTACTCTGCATGAGTCACACACACCCTACTGTGTCCTTAATGCCTTGATAATTGATGCTAATGGGACCCTGCAGATCTGGAAGGATATCACTTCTGAAAGAATTAGTTGTGGTTTTGCTTTGTGTGTCTTTTTTTTATGTAAATGCAGCCACAACACATGTTTAATGTGTGCAAATTCTTTATTCTGTATAAGGAAGGGGCAGCTGGAGAAAAGCAGGACCCAACAGCTGGAGGCAGCAAGCCAAAAGTCAAGGTGAAGAGTATTGATCTTCCCGTTGTGGTCAACAACATACGGCAGCTGGATGGAGATGTTCTTGCTAACTTTGTGGAGTATGAGGTGAGAGATGCTGTTGCCTTTGAAAAGCTAAGTCCTTCAGTCTATGCTTAATATAAGGAATAAAACAAGATTTTGCTGAAAGGAGAACGTCTGCGTGATGAAACCAGAACGTCAGTTATTTAAATGCAAAGAGCCTTCTCTGCCATAAAGAATTATTTGAGTGTCAAAAACTTTTGAAGCATCCTCGGTTGTCTGTCTGAGTTTTAGGTGCTGCTCCACAAGGAGAATAGATATTGATTGGCTCAGTTTGTCTGCATCATTTTAGCCTCTAGCATCGTTCACCCACAACAGAGTTTAATTAAGAAATAGTCCAAAATTGAATATATAGTAGACTGGAATAGACATATAAGACAATTTTCAAACTAAACTGAAAATGGGGTCGTAGGGATATACACAAGGTTTATAAGCTACAAGATATCAAAGATATAAAAAAATTATTAGAAAAAGTAAGGGAACATTTGCAACAAAAAAGTATGTTTGCTTGTATGTATATTTAAGCAGCAAAAAAAAATGCCTGTAGGGAAGGGAGGAAGGATCTGTGATAACACTCCTCTGTGCATTTAGGGTGCAGCAGTCTCTAGCTATGTGGCCGTTAATAATGCTGCACTTAATTCTATTTAGTTCTTTCCTAGATTAGAGCGTGTTTGTGTCTTTCTCTGTCATGGATTGGGCTGCTGTTCAGATTGTACATGGCCCTCGCCCAATATGAACTGTAGAAATGTTTCAGAGCACTGAATATTTTTCCCTTTTCCCTTTCAGCGTCAGATGATTTGCCAGGACAAACTAGTGAAGGAGCTGAACGATGCTAAAAATGCAGTGGAAGAATATGTCTATGATCTGCGAGAAAAGATCTGTGGGATTTATCAAAAGTACATTAGTGAGGAGGTATGTCAACATTTTTTCACTTTAAAGCAGCAAAGACTTCTATGTCTGAGCATATAGACCAATGCAGTGCTCCTGATATTGATAACAGGATGGTAACCGATTGACGTTGATGCTGGAGGACACTGAGAACTGGCTGTATGAGGAGGGAGAAGACCAGCCAAAACATGTCTATGAGGAGAAGTTGGGCGCTCTCAAGGTTTGCCTTCATATGCACACTTTGAGATTATATTTCTACAATCTACTGGGAACCTGCAGATTTTATTAATTCAGCGTGATTTTCCAGAGATTTGGTGAGCCCATACAGGAGCGGCACAGAGAGAGCGAAGAAAGGCCGAGAGCTTTTGAAGAACTGGGGAAGAAACTGCAGCTATACATGAAGTTTCTGGATTCTTACAAACAAAAAGTAGGCTTTCCAACCTTTTTCATCCTTCTTTAAATCCTTAAAGAACCTAAAACTTTTTCCCTGAACAACCTCTTATTTTCTGAAGGATGAACGTTTCTCACATTTAAGTCCAGAGGATGTAAATGCTGTGGAGAAGTGTGTGCATGAAAGCATGGGCTGGATGAACAACAAAATTAATGCACAAAGCAAAGCTGCAATAACTCAAGACCCAGTGGTTAAAGTAGCAGAAATAATTGCAAAAATCCAGGTATGAATAGGTATTTAACACAGTGAGGTTTAGACACTACAATTTACTGACTGCAGGTTTCCACCCAATCTAGGAACTGGACGACGTTTGTGGTTCAGTTGCCAACAGACCAAAGCCAGCTGTCGAGGAGGCGGCAGACGTTAGCGATCCGAACAACGGAGCTAACAACGGTCCCGCAAGCAGACAGGAAGCAGACGGGAAGGGAAACCAGCACCCAAAGCCAGGAGCTAAACAGATGGAGGTAGACTGAGGACCAGACTGACAATCATCACGGCGTTTTCCATTACGCTCCTCCTAGGAAGTAGAAACACAAAAGCTGGGCTCACGTCTCAGTCGTCACCAGCCTCCTCCGTGGATTGTTATCGTGTCATCTCCCAGTGGACTTCAAGCCTTCAAATCCGTTCATTCCCATGTGTGACAGTGCTGTGCTTTACTCTCTCACATCTTCCACATGCAAAGAAAAAAGTTCTGTAACTGGTTTAACTCAGATTATACCAGAAAGATCAATCCAGTATCACCTGTAATCCCAAAGACCAGTAAGAATATTCAGTACTGTTCAAGCAACTGTTAATGCAGAACGACTAGTTCACGTGCGAGAATACAAATCCTGTATATGTATCCGTTTCTAATGGGTTGAAGTGATGCTTATGTCTAGAAATTGTAAATATGATTTTAGTAAATAAATCAGACTGCATATATATGTACACTGAGGTGTTCTTTTTTTTTTGTGCCCTTTTCCCAATATAGCTCTGGGAATCGAAGTCCCAGAGGTAGACAATAGACCAACAGATTGGTTTTCACAAGAAGACCGTTATGGTTGTTGCCATAAGGTTCTGCTCAGTAATTATATATGAAGCTTTATTGAAAAGGATTTGGGAAATAAAATCATATGCAATGTCTTATTCTTAATGTTTCCTAAGAAAATTTGTGGAACATCAAATTTTTAGTGAAAGAAAAAACATATATAACAATATATTTTGTCTCTATCAATCAAAAGGAATTTTAATATCTTTGGAAGAAGAATTTAGATATAAAATATGCTAAAATTAACCTATGGTATGTCATTAAAGCTATTTTTGTCTTTCTTCCAATTAATCTGTGTTCAATGATTGCACTAATATAGTATAATCATAAAAACTCATGAAATTCTATAAGTCTTTCCATGTAGATGTTATATTTGATAAAATTTTTATGTATGTTTTTGATTTAATTAATATTTAAAGACCTGCTGCATCTTGTTTTTTAAGAGCAGCCAAGTTTATCAATCCTTACATGGACCAATAGGTTGTTTCAATACTAATAGATTTCCTTTATGTCATACTCCCCTGGACATACATCTGGTCTTTCTTTAAAGATTTATTGATAATTTTTAATGAATATAATTTT